CTTAATAAAAATCACACTGCAACCATGATGTGCTGGCACAGTGTTAACAAAATTCCCCTTTCTTTTGCAATAAAGTCCCTGCCCCCAATATACACGTGTTTGCACGCATTTTTAATTTCAATAGGGACTACTGAAAAAGAAAACAGTATAGCAGCTGAGAGTAAGTGAATAAGCTAAATATAAGTGAATAAACTGTTTACAGTGTAAGCAAATGAGATAGTGAAAGCTTTCTCTAGAGTAACCTTCCATTCCATTAATAATGATAAAGGTGTGCTGGTTTATGCCAACTCAGAATATAGCCATTATGTATTTTGATTGTAAAACAGTATATTAAAATCATGTAATTCGGAAATGATGTGATAAAATAGGGTGAAAACCATGACTAGCACTGCGTACATGTATCCTTTCTAGGAATTTTGAAAGGTATTTTTCTGCTGAGATAACCCGTCTCAGACCATAGCCAATAAATAAATAGATAAAACAGATCCTCAGAAGTATTCATATAAGCCCCAGGGATAACACTTATCCAGCAGAGATGATTAAGAGTGTCCAGAGCAAATTGGTTTCCATCAGAGGCAAGGAAATTGTCCTGATCTTCTCTTCATTCTTTACAATGTTTTCCAGCAAAACCCCTTCCAGCCTCTGTGGACTTGGTGCCAAGGACATTGGCTTGTCCTCCTCTTGGAGTGTCAGGCAGTCAAGTGGAAAACACTGTGCAGTCATTTGGACACTCCACCTCACACAGTCCTCTTTCTGATTTTATTTTTTGTAAGCGTTATTCATTTTTAGCCTGGTTTCCTAAGGCAACGTCCCTATGCGAATGCACTGTCTATCTATCAGTGTGCTCCTAATAACTTGGGAGAGTCCTGTCTAATTTCAACTCCATTTAACATAGGGCTAAATGCTAAAAGACATGCCATTACTGCAAGTTTTATGCAAAGAAGTAGGCAGGTAGGGGAGAGGCCCCCTGATTAATGACTCTGTGGAGGGAGCGGACGTACTGCACAGGCTCAACAGTTGTCTGTTATATCTGGCCTGTGAGATAGGTTGCTTTAGCCCAACCAGGCAGGTGGGGAGGACACACCAGAGGCTGCTGAGCTGAGGCACGTGGTTGCAAGACACAGATCTATAGGAAAGAGGATTCAGTAGTTGGCTTCTCCTAACTGCCTTGTTTATGGATATGACAAATTTCATTTTACATATACATGCATTCTGGGAGTTTTTAACAAGACTGAATTGAAAAAAAAGAAACTAACGATGTCACTGTTATTAATACCAGTATTGTTGTTGCAGCTGTTATCAATAACGAGTTATTAATAAACGAGAACGCCTTTGGTTGTGATCACTGTAGGTCTTCTGTTCCTGGGTGTATCTGAGTATCACAGATTCTCACTGCAAAACACTACCAAAGTTTCCCATCCGTTTGCGCAGCTAAAACTGCTAATGTGCCTTTTGCTATCTCATGTTTGGGTGGTGGATGTACTTTTCTGTGGCCTCACCAAATTTATCCTGATCCTGTGAGGCACCTACAAAATACTGCTGCAGAAACAGTTTTCCCAGTCCTTCAGCTTTGCCCTCTTCTTTGCAAGTTCACCTTGCCTCACCGTGTCCAGCCTAAGTTGTCTTCACTTGCAAGACCCTCCACCTCCTCTCTCACTGGTGAGGCCCAGCTGGAAGGCAGCTCCACAGCTGTCCTCACTGAAGGGCCTTTTGTTGCTTAGTGGTTTAGTTTTTCAGATCCTTTCTTAAGCCCGGCTCACTGTGCAGCCATGCGGGCATTTGAGCAGACAGGGGAGGCTGTGGGAACACCCTTTCCGGCGCCGGCCGGTGCTTGGCTTGGCTGAGGGCGCTTGTGAAAAAGCGGCTGCCTTCAGTGCCCGGAGACCGCCTCTTGCCTCTGCTCAGCTCTCGATGCCAGCCTTTGCCAGTCCCCGTTCCTGTTGCCAGCAAAGGCCATCAGATACACCTAGGGGCTGTAAATACAATAATTCAAGAGAGAAGAGGGGAGGGGAAGCCAAATCAACACATTCTCTTTCTTCCCCCAAGTTTTCCTTGTGCTATTTCAGAGCTGCAATGCTGACTCTGCAGCCCTGGGTGTTCATGCATCACCATGTAGCCCCAGAAAGCAGACAGCCCCCCTTTAAATTTGATGGCTCATTTACACGATTTAGTGGAAAATGTTGAAGATGTAGCTTGTAAACTTGGCTGCTTGGTAGCATACTGCAATAGTGTAGCATCCATGGCAGCCTGAGGCTTCTTTCTGCCGCAAACACGACATTAGCGTATGAGACAAGTTCGGATCCAGTTGTTCTCATCCAATTCCCAGTGAAATACAGTTGCTTCATTTATGTAACTGGTAATCATGTAATCGTGCACGTTCTAAGATTTTTATTAATTGTGGAACTCTCTAATTACTCAGTACCCCAAAGGAACAAATTGTATAAAGCTTTTGTTTGTGGATAATTTCTTAGGGAGTTCATTGCCTTGCTTTTGGAAAAAAACTTGCTCTTTTTCCTTGTGTTTTAGTGCATTTTTACTATATCTGTCCCTTTCCTAACTGTATTTTGGTGTCTTTCGCAGACTTTGGCTTGAGCAACTGTGCAGGCATCTTGGGTTACTCTGATCCGTTCAGCACCCAGTGCGGGAGCCCAGCGTATGCAGCCCCTGAACTTCTGGCGAGGAAAAAGTATGGGCCGAAAATAGATGTTTGGTCCATGTGAGTTACTTCTCTTGTTCATAATTATTATTATCGTCATCATTGCCCGTTGCTCGAATCAGAAACATTATTCAAGTATTTGGCTACTGCAAGCAAGACATGCTGTTGAATTAGCATGACTCTGTGAACTGTGTGGTGCAGATATTTTGATTTGAAATAGATCTTCCCATGCCTGCATGTGGAACAGTAGAAGATAGTGTGGTGAGATTCCCATCAAGCACAGTGTCGATCACACACTGTGTGTCTGGCTTTGGACGCAGTAGCAGATGCGGCTCTGGCATAAGAGGGCAAACTGCTTGCTTTATTTTCCCAAAAAAAGGTACCTTAAACTCTTGCATGGGCTCTGGGCATTATCCGCAGTCACATCTGACAGGAGAAGTGAAATCTAATCAGGTCATAGCTTTGAAAGCATGGTAATTAAAGGGGAAGAAAAAGTGGCCAGAAAACTTGATCAGACCTTTGTGAGCTTGTTAGTGTTCAGAAAAAGGAGTAGACAAGAGTCCCTTGTGCCAGAGGTGTAGGAAGTTGCAAAACTGTTTTTGAGTCAATGCATTAGTTTTAGGCCGTGCAGCTCCCTCCTGCTAGCCAGGACCCGATGTCTGTAATCTTTGTCTCTCCTGGAGAGAAATTTACTGAACTAACACATTTAGGAGAGGAAATGGCTGGGGGAAGTGCAGTAAAATCAAGCAAGGGAGACTCAATGTGATCCCAAAGTCTGAAACTCAGTTGAGATTTAGCTTTTGCAGTAGTATTGATAGATTTTCCCTCACGAGTGAACTGGGGATAATAAAATTTATATGCCTGTTGGGAACTGTGATAATTCGTGAGTTAAAATTTTTACAGTGCTTTGAAAATGTAGAGTGCTGTGTAAGTACTACTACTGCTAAGAGGGATTGGCCATAGATTATATATGAGACAAGGAGAAATAGTAAAATGTGTTAAAAAACCTCAGTCAAATTCACCTCTCAGTTTGATCCACTAGTACCTTTTTACACTTAAAGGCTTCAGAACTTTGCATAACGAAGCCTAATTTGCAGTCTGTGCTCTGAGGAGACCCAGAGCTAAATTATATTATAACAGCTTTATTTTTCGCTGCAGCAGTGGGTCATCCATCCACATCAAGGCTAAGGTTACCAGCACTGTGGGATGCAGGCACTCTTACTGGGACTGGAATGCAGACAAACAGCACAGTCATCCTTCTAAGCCATTCATACTTTTCCAGTAATAATATCCTGTTCTTTCTTTTTTATCTAAGGGAAAAAAAAAAGTGGTTAACTACTACCCTTCCTTGTAGCTGAACAAATGGTTGCTATGACCATGGCTTGTAATAGTGCGCTGCTTTAGTTTCTTTTCTGTTCACATGACTTCATTCAGCAGACAGGGGAGACAAATTCCCAAAAAGAAGGAATTCCACCCAATTGAATTTGAAGCCATTTTAAGGGGAAAAAGAGCAAGAGTACTCAATCCACTTTTCATCGCTAACTTTGCTGGGTATAAATAAGCAATGATTTTTCTGCTCTTTAGCTGTTCATACCAGATCTTTGGGCTGCTCGAGAGGCTGTGAAGGTCAATGGAAATCCTTGGGCGTTGAACCGGCACCTCTGGGAATTCCTGCCCAAATTGTCGAGTGCAACAGGCGGGAGGCTTCAGAGGGCTGCTTCTTCACCTTTTGTAATAGACATCAAACATTAAAGCAGAAATACAGTCACTAAACGCTAAGCCTAATTTTTCCTCATTCCTGATCATTTTGTTTTCTTTTTCTGTCTGTTCTCTTTTAGTGGGGTAAATATGTATGCAATGTTGACTGGAACGTTACCTTTTACTGTGGAGCCGTTCAGCCTGAGGGCTTTATACCAGAAAATGGTGGACAAAGAAATGAACCCGTTTCCCACCCAGCTCTCTACAGGTAATCGAGGGAGGGTGCTTAGGTCTATTCAGAGCCAATCGGTTACAACTATTGGGTTGAACTCTGGATTGTGAGTCGTGGTACCAACATGGCATACTAATTGTGAGAAACGGTCTTCATTTTAGTCTCCAGAAGATCTGCAAGAGTTGCTCTAGTGTAACTCCTCTTGCTTTGACTTTTGGACATAAGTTGGAGAAGTGCCAAGTTGTAATGGATGTGAGAGAGGAACAAATCTGTGAAATCTCTTTCGTAGACTCGTTGGTCAATTTTTTATGTTCGGATGAATTTAGTATAGGGCATGGATGCATGAACACGTTATTTTGCAATAATACATTCCTGGGCATTATCATGACTGGCGTTGGGTGATAGGCTGCCTTGAATTAACTCACATTTATTATGGAATAAGGACATGCACACAGAAAGCTATTACGGGACAGCGACCTGCAAGAAGCCTTATGTGTTCAGAAAATGCAAAGTCATTATTTGTATTAATATTAGTTGTATTAATTCCTGGTTGAAAGCTATGTCACTGGGCAACAGAATCATTTTTAAGCTTATAGCAAGACTATGTCAGCATTTGCAACAAACTCCATTTTGTACTTAGGTTTTATTTTTGTAAACTAAACTTGATGTTCATGGAGAGCGTCTGTTCTCCTTATCTGGCAGACTGTTAACCAGGGACATTCAATAAAATTAAAATATTCCAAAGACAAAAAAGAGTAAAAGAGTGTACTTTTTCACTTAGTACACTAACGATGGCAACCGTTGTCATGGGGTATAACAAAAAGCCCGAGGGAGTTGTGTCACCAGATGAATTCTCACACAGGTTATCTGTGGATCAAGTAGAGTGTGCTGTTCCTTGTTGCCTCAGCATCTGCATGAAGTAGAGTTCTTCTGCCAGCAGTTCACCTTGCTGGCATGTTGTGAAGCAGTAGCTTTACAAGTGAGCTGGGATGCTGCAAGTCTTGCCATGTATTTGATAAATTAGTGTTTGGTATTTCCATTCTGGAGACTTCCCTTTAGGATTCAGTTACACAAAATTGTCATTTTAATGTTCTAGCACACGTTCTAAAGCCCCGCTGAGTAAATTGAAAGTAAGATTTTAGTGACTGCTTCATGCTGTACTGGCATAGATGCCAAATCCTGCAGCAATTACAAAGCTGCTGTTGAATTTGTGGACTTTGATGTCATCATAAAAACGTACCAAGTTTGCCAACAAGTTTACCAAATTTGCCTGCCCCAGTGAGACTTTTCCAATAGAGAGCTGTGTCACAAGGGCCATGTACAGTATTTGAACCAATGGACCATTTCCCTGATCATCGCTTTCTTTCAATCACAGTAGTCTTTAAGTAGGAGATTTCATTGACTTTGCTGAGACAACTGATGCATGAAAGGTTGAATCACCCATGAAAGGCCTTTAGAAGATCAGACCTTATGTAGCAAAAAAGATAACCACTACTGCCGACAGGTTTCATTCTACTGTTTCGCTCATCCTACCCTTTTATCATGGAGACTGGATTTTCTCACAGTTGCTTCTCTGTAGAATTCATAGCTAACTGACGTTACGCTCGCCAATGAAAACACTATTTTGTTTCTGCTGTGAGAACTGTAGCAGTTTGAACTTTCAGAGACGGAAAATTAATGGAATAGATTTAAACATGTTAACCTTTACTCACTATGAATAAAGGTATGCATCAGTTCTTGATTTAAGTCAACAGGCTTGCACATTCACTGACTTGGCAAACCGTGATTTAAGATGACATTTGTTCTTGCCGCTGTTAGGCTTTGGGTCAGTAGATAGCAGCTCTGCTCCTCTGCCCTGCAAACTGTTGTGCTAGTTAACTCCTTAGGTATACGGATCTTTTTCTTTAGTCAGGTTTTCTTTTTTTTAAAAATTCACATAGGGTTTTGAGAAGAGATTTTTTGCAGTAGACTGTCTTTGATTGTTCAGTAAGATGTCTTTCAATGTTTAATCTAACAGTTACCAAACGCACAGTTCCATCCTAAAAGTGGCCATTCTTACCACTAAACAAGAGTATATTTTATTTGTATTCATTACAATGTTGGGTCACCATGAGCACCAAAAGCAACTGTGTAGCAACAGGGAAAAACTGGGGCTAGTATTTGATTTTCCTGCTTAGGAAACCATTTTTTATTAAGCTGCTTAAAAAACATAGCTATCTTAATATTGATTTTAGGTGAGCGGAGTTCCGTTGTTAAGGAAGTTGGTATTAACCTTGCACACGTTTCTTGTTTCTCAGTTTATTGCTTCTGTATGTTTATAGTCTTCCTTTTTGGAACAGAGAAGCAAAGCAGAGACTAGAAGAATACTTCTCAAAAGGTGTTTTTGTAGCTCCTCAATTTCTTCTTTTTGTAGGCTTTTTGCCTGCTTGATGTACTTTTTTTAACGTTACAGAATCCAATGTACTTTGTAGCTGATAGTCTGAAGATAAAATTAACTCACATTTTGTCTTCCAGTCATTACATCTCGTGATTCCCTTCCTAAAGCCTGCAAGCACTATCATCTGCAGCATGCGTGAGCATGTATTCCGTGCTTTTGAAGCAGAAAAAAGGGGTTACCTTTTATGCGAGTTAAGAAATTGGTCATTCGATCTGCAGGAGTACATGGTTCATCTGATGACCTATATCCCATCTGTGAAGTACAGAATAATTGCTAATAGTCAGTGAAGTCTGTCTTGAGAAGTTAGCGCACCTCAGCTAGAAGTAACCGTTGCCGAGAGCGGAGAGGCAGTATGGTCCAGCTGAGGTATGCCTAAATTCTTAGGAAATGCAAGCGATCATCGACCCACTGTCATAGTTTGGAGGAAGGATTTTGTTAGTTTACTGCTGGCTGCGTGAAGTGAAATGGCCTTAGGCCATTTTACCTGGCCAGTGTTACGAGCAGCAGCTGTATACCTGCATCCGGCCAGGTGCGCACTTGCAGTGCGCTGTTCTCTAAACAAGACACTAAGTTCTTTTTTTTAGGTCATGACAAGGAAAATGAAAGCGGAAGACGACTTGTGATCCGTACTCAGAACTCACTCTCTGCTTCTGTTCCTTACTGTGCTTGATATGCTAAAGCAAATTTAAAAAGAAATTGTGTTTCTCATGATCCTGGTCTTTTCATTGTCAAAAGAGCAAACTTTGCCCCCAAATTATGCCATGGAAACAAAATTCCAATGAGTGCAGGTCACTGGCTAATCAAATTAGTGCTGTCCTTGAGTTCATCGCAAATGAGGCCCTCACATGCACTTATATAACCGAGCGTTGGAGGGATAATTCACAGGATCCTTTGTTCGTCAAGCTGCTTGGTTCAGCATGAAAAATGACTTCAGATATAGCGGGTCCAAAAATCGATTTGTTAGCTTCAGTGTTTGCTTCCTAGGGGATTCATTTTGCTCTCCTACAGCTGCACGGCTAACCGAAAAAGCGCCTCTCTTCCTTGTACTGTCTAAGAGTTGAGATCAGCAAAGGTGCCGTTCCTAATCTCAGCTGCACTGCCAGGGTCCTGCCAGCTAACCAGCCTCCCTGGAGAGCCCTTGTCTCTGGAATTAATTTCTCCCAGTCTGAATCTCGTGATCTTTGTACTGCTTCAGAAGCTTCGTTTAATTAGTCTATCTTTTGCCAAGGGAAAAAAAGTAAGATTTTTAAGGAGAATTTTGCTCATTTGGGATCTAAGGAGGGGGTTGGCTTGGGGTTTGGGTTATTCTGCGCTGAGAAGTGTGCTCAGAAGCTCTGGGATGTGTGCAGTTTGTAACAGAGAGGCAGGGAAATACTGGAAGGATGGGGACTAAAATGAACGAACAATGGATTAGTTGTTTCCGACGTGGTAAATTCTGCTCCCAAGAAATGTGACGTGAGGGCTTTCAGGATACTCATAGACCAGTCATAACATCAACTTGCAGGAGATTTATGGGCCTGAATATAGTCTCTTCCTGCTGTTCCTGCAATATTACTGTCATATGAAAATCCAAAAATGTTGGGAAAGATTTAAACTGAAGTATCTCACATAAATCTGATTTGTGAAGATAGGAGGAATCCAGCTCATGCCTAGCTGACCTGGTAAATACATAATCATAACTCTCTCTTTCTCTCTCCCAGTTATAAACTTCTTGACAGTAGGCCTGCGCTGAAAGGGATAGTCTCTCAGGGCCCTTTCCGGCTGATATTTGATTTTTGCAGGATGTTGAACACAGAGGTTACACAAGCTGTTAGGAGTCAGCACCTATCGAGTCTAATCCTGATTTATTTGACAGTCCCTCGCTTCCTTGTGCACCGATGCGCTCTGGAGCGGCAGTACAGACTTCCTGCCCCTTCCCTCAGGTGGGAAGTGATTCATGCGGGCTTTCCGAGCCAAAAATGCTCGAGGAGACAACCCACATACATACACACAAAGCAGGGGAGTAGTATTGTAGATGGGAACCTTTTAAAGGCAAAGGCGCTGCGTCTCAGTTAACATTTATGCCCTTATCAAGGGAGCACATCATGGCCTTATGGGTAGGCGTGTTGTTCCCCTTGCGTCGGGTACGGGAACGAGGATTCGCGAGGGTTTTCACTGGTTTTCTGGAGAAGTGTTGCGGCTGCTCTGCTTCAGAATAAAGAGCAGGGTGGTGTGTTGTGCAAGGGAGAGCACAGGTCTGTAAAGCAGAGTGGGAGGACTGGCTCCTAATTTCATAGTTTCATCGCATTAAGGCACTAGCACGTCTAGTTTGATATCCTTTATATCACAAGCATCTAAGGGGCTTGTCTGCACTTAACTGAAATTAGCTGATGTGACTGTGTTGGCAAGGCTCTACCACAGCACAGCCAAAAGACATAGTTTAACCTGCCAAAAAAATCGCTGTCTTTTGCAGGTAGAGCTTAAAAGGCTTCCCGATTATACGGAATCAGGTAAACCAGCAATAGCTTTTCGGCTCACTGTGTCCGTCCTGAGGCTCTGTCAGTGAGAGGAGCAATTTATTTCATATGCCTAATCAGCAAAGAAATTCTGGCAGAACTTTTATAGACAGGCCAAGCCTCCATTTAATCTAAAATACATCTTCATTAAGTCCAAACACTTCAGTTAGGGGGTTTACTTGGGATAACTCAGGAAACTGTACTGTGCTACAGGCAAAGCAGAGCAGTGGCCGTGCGCTGCCAATGCCCAAAGTTTCTGCATTGGTTTCCTATACTTGTCTCCTTAACCAGTAGATGAGACATGCTCAGAAGAGTCTAGGAGGTGAACTGCAACTTTACTGCAGAACGAGATGGAAAAAAAAGCCTCCAAGATCTTGATCAAACTGACTTAGAGAAAATTGTGCTGCAGCCACCACTACTGTCTTTTGCTTGCTGTTGACTTCACACAGGATTCATTTGGCATCTCACTTGACTGTATCATTCTGATTTTGTTTTTCCCAGAATTTGTGCAGAGAATTCTAGAGGACGTAGTTACTTCTTTACTCTCTTGTAGTCAGTAAACTGAACCCAGCCTTGATAATTTGGCTAATAAAGACCGGAACTAGTTAAAACAGAGTTTATTTTCAGCTAAGATATTGACTTCTTGTGAGCAGTTAAGTACATCACTTGACTTCTTTCTTCCTAACCATGTAAGAAGCACATGACGTACTAACGTCAGAAAAGTACTTCTGAGATTTTTTGCAATAAAACCCTGAGGGATGGTCGAATGTCATTGAAAGCTGAAGGTTCAGTATCTGAAAACAGAACAGAGCCCATTAATTTTACTGCACTCTTTCAGTGTGGCTAAAGCCTCCTGCAGCTAGTTGCAGTTTGGATGGAAGGCAGAAGAGAATTTGTCCTTATAATGTTAATGGGAGCAGCAAACCCAATTCTCCATGTCTTTCCTCCCAGCTCTGCACCCCTGCTGTCCTCTCTACTCACCTCCGGTCTACCTCCTTCTACTTTAAACACAGTATGAAGGACTCACGTATGACCTCACCGTCTTGTCCTCAGAAAAACAGAAAGGCTAACCTGCTCAGAAACTTCAAACAATCTCTGAAACAAAAGATGCTTTTTCTCCTCTTGTTTATGACTCTATAAATCATTGTGTATGTTACTTACTAATCTCTTATCAGACTTTTCTTTTTCTCAAGGACAGTAGACCATAAGGAAAAAGTTGCTTATTAGTATATTCTTGGTCAGGCTACCTAGCTGACCATAGAAACTGAGTAGTAACTCAACTACTGTGTTAAGTTGTAAAGTATATGACATAGCTGTTGATATCTTCTTAATGTCTTCACAGCGGCCATAAACTTTCTACGATCTCTACTAGAGCCAGATCCTGCAAAGAGACCAAACATCCAGCAGGCACTTGCAAATCGCTGGCTTAATGAGAATTACCCCGGGAGAGCACCACCTAACGTCACGTATCCAAACAGGTACTGTGAGAGTGAACGAGGAAAGCCTGGCAGTGTCTAAACACATTGAAACGTTAAGGCCTCTAGTGTTCCCGTTTCACTGCTTATGTGACAAGGTCTCACTGCATTCTCCGGGATTGCTTTTGTGAGGCAATCCTAGAAGTTGCTAGGATTGTCTATTGAATGCATATTTCTTGAAACGGTCAAAAACACCTCCTTATAAATTAGAAGCTGGCATATGATGCATTTGCAGGGCGGCCTGGGATGCAGATCATGTGATTAATTGGCTCCAGACCTTATAATGGACATGTGTGCCAAATAGGTCATCAGTTTTGATCTTCTCCTTTGTTGCTGATAGAGCCACGCTACTTTTCCCATGGAGGCAATGCCTATTTGTGATAAACATCTGAGGTTCTGTGGATTAGGGGTAAATATTATGCAAACAGTGATCAGGAAGGTCAGGGCTAGATGATCTTGGTTTGTTTATTGTTGAGCTTGAGTACCTGTGCAATGCTGAGGTGACTAAATGCAAACAGGTAACAAATCTAAATGGCCAGTCAAACATCCATCTAGGGAAAAAGAAAAAGAAAAAGAAAGATATTTGTGGTCCACTTTGGGTAGAATTAATCTTGCTTGTATTTAAACATTTGCAGCATGAAGTCTACACAGGAGCCAGTCAACCTGGGCTCTCTGGGTTCATTGTCAGGGTTACTAGCTTGCAGGACAGGATCCAATGTAAGGCAAAAGACAGTGACTTAAAGCTCAATTTTGTCAAAGCAAAATTTCTCTCCTAACTCACTGAGAGGTGAGTCCTTAAGAGGAGATCCTAACTTTGCCCCTGCAGTTTACTCAAGTGCCAGAGATCTGATCGAGCATAGGCCTAGGGGTGTGACGACCAAACCTTAGCTGAATATCTGAACCACTGTCCTCCACTCAGAAATGATTTGGTAGTCACCAGCTAGGTCTTCTTTTTCCGTTGGCTCCCAGAAGCAGCCAGTTGCATAGGCACGCTCAGATTGTGCTTACAGACATCCTCCAGCATTCAGTTGAAGTCAAAATTGTGCTAGTAGCCACAGTTTTTTACTCACTGGCCAACCACTAGCCAAATGGACAAGGTATATTTCAGAGCTGTAGGTCCAAACTCTGTTGGGCTGGAAGGATCTACAGCACTGTCCCCTGACTGCTCAAGTGGCTGCTCTATAAAGGCTGCTCTGTAATAGGTCTCCAGCTCTCAAAATATGGTTGCATAGATTTTGAGCAGCCTGGATGCCTGTTCTCCAGAGGGAGACATCATTAGAGCCATCCATTGAAACGAGGAGGGCAAATGTGAAGCCAGCTGCATTCAGTCCTCAGACCTACGTGCGCAGAATACGAAAGTGGTCCATCAAAGCAATTGTTTTGCAAGGCATAAGACTGAGAACAGGCAGACTCATTATCCCAACATTACTGCCCTGAATTTAAGGGCAATTGAGTTAATTTGCATAATATGCTTTACAACAAAAGGAAGTCTGAGTTTCCATGGTGCATTGGACTGCACTAAAATATGGTACGTATGAACATTTTATGGTAAAGAAAGGGAAAACAAGTGTAAACTGAATGAGTCATTAAGCTAATGAAATCACTGTCATAATGAGTATAATCAATCTACTAAACGTGGCATCTGTTAAGTGAATGTAAGTGTAACTGAGAGCAATATGGGTAATTTAATTCTCTTGCTGTGTGTGTCTAACCTGCAAAAAAGAGGAAAAGAAAGAAGCGATGTGAATGTGATTTCAGGATTCTTTTGCGTTTGTAGGTACATTTTTGTGTCTCTGTTTTTAAAATCTTCACTTGCATTTGTCAGGTTTTTGTCAGACAGCGTTGGAAGCGTCCATTCATTGGTGCAGTTAGCTAGGTGACTTATAAGACAGGCTGGACTCTATTAAATAGAATAGCCGTGCAATGCTGTTTATTTATGGACTGCCCATTAATCATTTGCTCCCGAAGGTGAGCAAATCGAATGTAAGAACATATGAAAAGGCCGTGTTGAGCTAAAGGGGGGGCATATGTTTGCTCATGCATACATGTTTGTGTATATAGTGGTGATAAGCCTTTCCTATGAAGAACACTTTTAAAGGGAATATCAATGCAGAATGCCACTCTTTGCTATAAAAAAATTGGTCCCTTTTTTTTCATTGTACTGCTTTTCTCATTATTTGATTTGAAAACAGGAGAAAATTAGAAGACAGTGAAGCTGTAAAGGATAAAAGCTGTACAGATTCTTTTCTTTCATTTTTTGGATAATGCTTCTTTAGTTTAATTAGTTTATGCCCCAAGCTTGACCTATCTAGAATTTGTCATACTGGAGCCTGATAGGGAAAGTCCCCTTCAGTTTGAAATATTTAAGGACATAGCTTGTCTTCTTTTGAGCTTGCCTCACAAAGCATCACTAGAGTGGACTTTGGTAGTATTTCTCCGAGTTTTGTTAGTGTATAAATGTGGGTTAATCCCTGTAGTTCCGAAAAACCCACCACTGAATTTGCAAGGAATCGTTCTGTCTCTCACTCATGCTTTTTATGGCACAAATGAGAAGCTATGTGCTGTTCTTGAAGTCCCCTTCTGCCATTTTGGGGGTACCACCCATTGTTCCCAAGCTAGAAACAAGGTACGAAAGGAGAGAGAGCAGAGATAAGGTGGAGGAACAGCAGCAATTGCATATTCAAGAGAATATTCTCCCAGGCTTTTTATAAGCTCGCTTTTATTAAAGAAATTCCCTGAAGGCAAGTAAATATTTCTCACTTTGCTGAGCACTTCGAGTAGAAATTACTTGAATTTCATTTGCTGTCCGGATGCTTTAGGGTCCAATGGCTAAGATAAGTTTTGCTTATTAGCTTAAAAAAAAAAACCCACTATTTGCTGAAGAGGGTTAATAAACATGCTGAATAAAGGAAAACATTAGCTATTTGAGATTTCCCAGACTTTGTTTGAAATCTTACCTAAGTCTTGTATCAGATCCAGTCTGCTCTCCAGGCGTTCCTGGCCTGACAGGTGTACAAAGCAGTGGTACAGCAGAGCAGGACTGGGAAAGGCAGCAGGCTGTAAAAAAGCTCATAAGCTCCGCTCCGCTAAGTTGTCTTAGCCAGATATTAGGCTAGATACTAGGAGCAAGGAATATCCGTAAGAAACAAAACAAAACCTAGCATTTCTTTGAAGATGAATGGGAGTTGACGGGTACATGTGGGAATCTGGCCAGCTCATTTCGATGTCTAAATAGGAGCTGAGTTCTCTGGGAAATCTGTTTTTAACATTATACTTGTGCTTGCAACCCTCATGTGTATAGCAGCAGTGTTACCATTTTGAGAGCTGCTGTAATAACCCTTCCTCTGTATCACCTTGCTCTGGGATGAAATTCCCCAGCTCCTTAGTGTAAGAACATTGGGAACCAGGTAAGAGGTGAAGTTGAACACCTTGGTATTTGCTTACAAGAAAGAGACCTTTCAGAAAGCAGAACATAGCCACCAGGGTTGGATTATTTAGCTTTTTTCCTTCAAAACCAGCTCAAGGGTCTTGAAGGACTTCACTGGCCGGATCTAGGGTAACAACTTGTGACATCCTGAGCATCACGGTGCCCTCTGCCCTTGTGGTAGGACAGACAGGAAGGATGCTGCTTGTCTAGCTATCCTGGCATCTGGCAGGGCGAGCAGTGCCCTTACCCGTTCACGTGAGGGGAGGGCTGAACAGAGCCACATTTCGGACCTCCTCTTGGCGCTCTGCTGGTTGCCCTGTTGCTAGCCAGGCGCTGTCGCGGGAGGACTGTAACGACAGCGTGCTCTGCCTCTCTCTCGGTGCAGAATTCACCTCGAGGACCTCAGCCAAAGCGTGCTGCTCCATATGACCGAGAAGCTCGGCTACAAGAACAGCGATGTAATCAACACGGTGCTCTCCAACCGCGCAAGCCACACGCTTGCCATCTACTTTCTGCTGAATAAGAAGCTGGAGCGCTACTTGGCAAGCCTGAGGGTAAGTACTGCTTCGAGCTGATTCTTTGGACAGGGGGAGGAGGGAGCAGAAAAAGTGCTAAAAGTTTTCCTGCGTGCTGGCGTTTGATCTCAAGGCTTTACGTGAGTTTTTCTCATTTTGTAGTAATAACCATGAAAGGGAAATATATTCCTTGCAAACTAATACCGTTATTTCAGACGCCAGTTCCCCACGTTGAAGAGATAATTGCTTATAGGCTTTAAGTCTCAGGAGTCTATATTTGCATAGAAGCCCTCTGGCTCGGGGGTTACCTTATAGAAAGCAAACTGTTGCTGTGCAGAGCCTTGCTGTTGAATTGCAGTGCACTGTGTCAGTACGCTGAGAAAATTCTGCTGCTTGAAAGAACTATAGCGCGGTGTAATTTGACTCAGGAAATTAAGGGGAAGGTTAATGGCTGCTAAGGTTTTGTTTTGATTTTTAAGTGTGAAAACTTAGATGAAAGTTGTTCATGAGAAATAATGGGAATATGAAGTTTGCTGTTTTCCTGCTGGCCTTCCTGGCTGCAGAGTATGACTTAAGGTACTCAAGTGTTATGATGAGCAAAGTGTAGAAAGAGAAGCAGCACTCTCTCTTCCCTTGGTCTCTCCACACAGCTATCTGTGGTCTGGGGAGGAGTTTTATATAGCCAAGGGTCTGTAGGCTTCTCCGTGATTGCGTAGGCAGTGTGATGGGCAGTAATATGGAGTTTTCTTTTTAACATATTTGTTTCTTAGAGAAATTATCCGCAAGGGCCTTCTCTAAGCAGCTTCTTAGTTTTTTCTCCGATCTTTCAGAAAGCATGTTTTAATCGTGATGCCTTTAATGATGTTTAAAATGTAATGGACTAAATTCACTATCTCTGTAAGTTGATGCATCTCCACTGAATGCCAACAGCGGATGTGGTCCATTAAGCAGTAGTTGAACATTAGTTTTCTCTAATTATCTTACATTCTTTACTTTTCTCTGCTTCTCCCTCTGCAGAAGTCTGAAGGCCAGGACAATATTTGCCACAAGAACCAACTGTACCAGGTAGAAAAATACAAGGCAAATAAAGACTCCTATGAGGTAATGCTCATTAAAGCTTGTTAAGGTATTTTGAAAGCAGACTGAATTTGAGCATCCCTAGTTATTGTGGTTAAGACAATGGATTTCTGGACCTGTGGAGGAACCAGAAATTGTTCCAAGGCCAGAAATATCATGCTTACTTTACAAGAAAGTGATCCAGTGATTTGTTCCAAAAATGTGCCAAGTTGGCTTGGGCACCTTCATTAAAAAGAACTAACTGGTGCCTTGCCTGGGCAGGACAAATGATTCCCTCAATTCAGAAGAATACGGTGGAAGTTTAAAGGTGACTTTTATCTCTTACGAAGAACATAAAATGAGTTTTAAATGCTCTATTTAGCAAAATCCACATGCTTCCTCAGGTGGCTCCTTCATTTCATTTTGAGGTGCAAATTGCTGGTATTACAAGAAGGCCATAGCTGTGCTGTCCTGAGACTGAAGACCCTGGTGGGTCAGGGCACAGAGAGCTTAGTGACAGGAGAGCCGAGAGGCTGGCGTTCACCCTCACCGATCACTCAGCATCGGTCAGCGTAACAGACTAGCCCTGGACTGAGTACTAGAAACAGTAAAACTATCAGCACAAAACTCAGCCCAGGTTAATATTTTGCTTCTTGGCAGAACTGGTATGGAATTAGCTCACTGCCTTGTGAGGGACTTCCCTGTACCAGAGAGAAGATGTTACTTTGTACTCGGGTTGTCTCCAATAGTTTTGCCTGCAGATAAAGAAGGCAGTTTGTATTAACCTAGATTATAGGCGTCTTTTGTTGTCTGGATTTTTCTTCCCCTGTTTTTACGCTGCCAAACACTAAAATCAGAAGGGTAGTATGCTCCTCTGCAAGTCTTAGCTAACAGTTACAACACAAATAACAGTATTCCTGAAAAGTTTACCTATTTCAAAAGCTACTCTTTGATGTTAGGTTGATGATCATGACCGTGTATGGTATCCTTAAAACTGGCTTCTCAAACCAAAATTGCAGGGGCAGATATGTATCATGGCTGGTACTGTTTATGTTTTAAAGGCCACTTGGAAATTTAATAGACCAGCTGAATTGCAAGCCAGATGGAAGTATCAGGGCAAAGTATTTCATCGTACTTTACTTATATAAATCACAACCAGCTTACTTAAAATGTATCAGCAGTGGGTAGACTCAATGAATATAATATTTCAAAAGGCTCTTTGGCAGTTGACTTCAAGCTGTTGCAGTGCAGGCCTCCCCTCGACATGCGTGTAGGTGTCTCCAGGTTAATGCTGCAGAAGGTGCTTGGTACGTCTCGATGCTCTCTAGGTCAGATTCTTCCAGCTGCTGGTGCAGTCATTGAGGGCCACATCTGCATGCTGAATGGCATTTAGGCATTAGCTTATTGTTTCTGCATATGTACCACGTAGGGGGGAGTCTGCAGTAAGGCATTTCTGTGCACCTGCACGGGTCTGTCTTGCTGCAGCCAGAAGAGAGACACATGGCTTGTTTTGGTGTTCTGCCTGAAATCTCTGCACCCCTAGGAGGGAATTGCTGTCTGGCTTTTGTAAGGGTAATTAAAAACTGGTGATAGCACCACTGTCTGACCCCTGTTTTGTTTGTATGCATACTTGAGGATAAAGGTTCCTTCCAAAGCCTGTTCTGCACTCAGAATTAGTCCCAGTGTAGCTATTTAGAGCTTGAGGGGGCGTCATTTTTTTCTCAAAATAGTTACCTTGGTACAATCCTGGTGCAGACACTGTGAAAATAATACAGTATATTCTCTTTCTGCATGGGCATAGCTCAGTATGAAGCATTTTATATCGCTTTAGCTGTATTTGCACAAGGGAATTGTACAACATTTCCTACACGAGGGCAGTTACAGCAGCACACCTGGGTGAACAGAGACCCTGAGCTGCTGTTGCAGTTTGTAACTCTGGTAGACATTTCTCCTAAAATATCTTCAGGTGGATGGGAAGGCAGCCTTGACTGATAGCCTCCAGATCATGCCACTGGGATCAGCAGGAGCCACTGGGATGTGCGGATACAGAGATTTTATGAGCTCAGACAGATTCATGAGCTGTAGGTAGAGTCCTCTTATCACCCGCTACTCCCAGGCTGAAACTAGGGAGTACCGGTCCCTAGATAAGTAACGCGGTCCAGCAGAAGCAGCCGCCTGAAATGCTTGCACCTCACTCTAGTGATGTGAAACAGAGGGCCTGCTGGCTCCCCTTTCCCGCCGAGTTTCGGGACCTGGCGCGGTAACAGCAGCGTGCTGGAGCTGAGGGTGCTGCCAAGCGCTGTCAGCGCTAAGTGCCTGGGTTGTGTTACAGGCCGGCCAGATCCAAGGACTTTGTAGCTTTAAGAGTTTGTGTCATGTTCGTATCACAATATGAGACCTGGCCAACATAAATACCCACTATCTTCCATTCAAAGGCATGCATCGTAGGGTCGAGGTCAGGACAGGAAATAGCAGAGGGTGATGTAATGCCAGAGCTACCCAGGTCTAACTTCCCGGGACAGCCCTTTCTTTGTGTGACCTTATGGGGCTGTATACAGTACGCCAAAGAGTGGACTTTTACAGCTCCCCTGAAGGAAATCTTCCTTTCCTTTTTAAAATATAATAGTATTTGGCACCTTGGGAGTTCAGGGTTTTGGTTGTTTCCCCTCCCACAACCATCTCCTAGGAGAAAGAACCTTAGTAAATTTAAAAAATAATTAAAAGACCATTTACAACATCCATCCAGGGTAACGTAATTCCCTGCTAATACAAAATATGTGAGTTTTCTTTTTCATGAGTACTTTAATCTGTACAATATGACTGTGTTACTGCTGCTTATAAAACATTACAGCTGTGTGAAGGCAAAGTCAGGGGCATTTGGCATGTGCCTCCGAGCAGAGCAGTGAAGAGGTCTGGCTTGGCTCTTGCACCATTAGGCTAAAAATATTGCAGCACTGAAATGTCCTGTGCTGTGACAGATGCTGCAGCAACCAAAATGCAAATTCTTTCCTCATCTATCCAAAATAGCAGAAAGCTGTTAACAGTTTTTTTCATTGGCTCCTTTAGGCTTCATACATTCAGCACTTGGTCTCCTCCTCACAAGTACAAAAAAATATTGGTAGAAAGAGCCCAGCCTCTGCTGACCCTGGCAGCAGAGTTTCAGAGCCTTGGGAGAAAAAAGTAGCACAATGAGCTTGGAATTAACCGTACAACTCCCACCAACTTTATTATCACAGGCTGTTATTCACACAGTATTATTAGTAGTATGGCTGGTGTGGTTATTTCTGCTGTCATTGCTTCATCATTGTCAACAGTGACTGTGCTCACCAAGGTGGTGCCTGGGGCCGATCAGACATTGGGTTGTTCCAAGCACAGCACAAGCAGGGAGGAATAGGCCCTCCATGCCTAAAATGCTTACGGCCTCTAAAGGTGGAGACATCAGGTGGACATCAGGTGGAGAAAGAGGTCTAACACAGGCAAAGTGATGACAGGTCCATAATGCGTTGGTTTGTTTCTCTAGAAGAGTTAGCCAGCTTTGGTTAGCTAAAGGAAAAGAAACGTGAAGGGAGAAGGGACATACGGAGAGAAGGCTGGATTGCACGTGTGAAGTGACACTGAGGAGAAGACAGTGAGGAACTCACAGCAGCTTTGGCTCTCCCTCCTCTAGGTCACTGTACTACTTTTGCAATAAAACTAAAAATCTTAGTTCATGATTGACTGAAGCTCTTCCTTCTGACGATGTAACTTCTGAAAATTCAAAGGTTACTGAGCCCAGCAGTGCCTAGCACAGTCTGTGCAGGGGAGCAGGTTCTGTCTGAGCTCTGGGGATGCTTAAAAATCAATGCTCGCCAGTTATTTTCCTTGTGTGTGTCTTAATATGTTTCCAGATTTGCTTAGTGGCCCAAGAGAACCTGAAATGTCTTCTGCTTCTTCCTTTCCGTCTCTCACATGCATGCACATTACTTTGCTTTTGAGGGTTGTTGATAGACTTTCTTTTAAAAGAAAGTTGTCAAAATAGCCAGCCTTCTGTCAGTTCATAATTTTCAGTGAAAATACAGGCCTCGGTGCATAGTTGGAGAAAGGAACTTTGCTGCTTTTTAAAAGTTACAGTGACTTTTCAATAAGATATGACAAAACATGTTGCTTCATTGAGAATTGCAGTAACAAAAAGAATGTCACATAGATAGCCCCTCTAAGAAAAGCAACATCCAGGCAACCAAAACAAAAAACCCACTTCTTCGTGATTCAGGGTACCCACATCTAAAACCAGACACACAAATTTGCCCAAGAAAGATGGGAGAATCTTGAAGCCTTTGAACTATAACAACATATGAGACACACATTTGATGCTTGATTTTTAGAAGTAAAATAAGACTTTTGGCTCCCTCTGAAATCAGTGACAGATAAAGAGTGTTACATGGCTTGCAAAATCAAATGACTCATGTTAAAAAAAGACACAACGCACTTTCATCACAAAACAATACTTTGAAAATTGGATTCCTCTTTAGAGTCCCAAGCCCAGGATACTCTTTTTTCCCTCCGCCATTGCTGGAAATCAAACCTTTCTTTTTGGGTGTATACATTTGCGATCCCATCTTTGGCTGTCTTTGTCATGTCATGAATAGGCGTTAGGCCACGCAGGGTTCACTGAAGCGCTGGGTCATCTGGCAGTAATCCTCTACCCCCTGCATCTTGCGCAGTCCTCTTGCACAGACGCCATAAAAAACTACCAGATCTCGGTAACTGAGTTCAGTACTCAGCTTGCACTCATTCAGGGATGTACTCGTAGCGTTGCGACATAACACGCATGAGGAATGAGAGCCTGTCGTTGTAGACAAGGACCACTGTCCTCACGATCTTCTTCAGATAGAATATAAATGACTCAAGGGTTTGAACTTTGTTATAGCTTTTGCAGTTCACCTGTCAGAGGAAGTGCAGTAAGTGGAAATCAAAGATCTTTTTCTGGGTTTAAATACGAAGGCAGATTTCAGATACGAAAGAGGAGCACAAATCTGCCTGTGCTTGCTTCAGCAATGTCCCCTAGGACAAATGGCCTCTGAAGAGAAAGCTTTCCTTTTTTTTATCTTTCTGAAAAAATATTTAACTTTGCATGAGTTTCAGAGCAGATGGGAGCCATGAAATCATGTGAAACTGATGAGAGAAAGATGTGACATGGAAGATTTAGTTATTTTGAGTAGCCAGGATAAGTTCCTTGTAAATATATCTTTTTTAATTCGGCTTCAGTAAGTGGTGTGCTTATGTCTCTGGGGGGTTTTAGGTCTTCTAAACTTCCTAAAGTAAACCAAATTGTTCTTGTTTGTTTTACAACTTAAAGGACAAAAAACTCAAAGAACAAGAAAAGAAAGGGGAGATTCTTCACCGTCCACCCCCAAAGAAAACTGAGAAAAGTCCAGTTTCATATAGACAGCCTTCTTCCTGTCTTATCTCACAGATACAGAACACCAAGGCACTGCTGAGGGACCGAAAAGTCACCAAGGCTGGAGGTCCAGATAAAGGTTGGTAGGAGAACTATCACTGCGTCTGTCTGCGTATATACCTTCATGTGAATGTGTTTGCATGGGTATGTGGTATTAATAAGATTAATAAGAGAGTTGTGTAATAAGAGAGTGTGTTGTATGTTTGTTAGTAAGTAGGCATGTGTTTGTGTTTACTGTCTGCTCCAGAGGTGGTATGTGATAGAGGATGGAATAACGCAGTCAAACTTTGAACAAAACGTCCTAAAGAAACCGTGACAGTGTTCAGCAGTCATGAATCCTTACTTTTACTTCTCTTTTCATTGGAAATGAGAGAATTTCCACAGCGTTTTAAAAAAAGCCTTATTTCCCTATTTATATGTACTTACACAAAATCATCTGTGCTTCACACTGGCACTTTGAAAGCATCAACACCCACCCCAGAGCAGAGCTGGGTTGCTCACTGACAAACCAAAACTGTTAGAGCAGCTTCTCTCTACCAGCGCACGGGTTTTGGTAAGGGAGGAATAAGGGGGCGCAAGGAAAGAAACTACTGAGCTGAAAGTGAGTGCTGGTAACTGCGGGCTCCTGGGAGAAATAGTGGGCAGCACTTGGCTGGTGGAGGAAGGAGAAACAGGCAGCCAAGAGGAAACGCAAGTGGAACTGCAAACCGCGGTGAATATCAGACAGTAAAAGGAGGAGGAAAAGCATTAGTAGGAAAAGGAAAAGATGAGACAGCCAAAGGAGAGAAAAGCATTAATCATGCAGGGTAGGATGCAGCCTGGCGAGGGATGGGTGAGACATGTTCTGAAGAGTGGCAAAAAAAGGCATAGCAGAGACAAAGAAAATGGGAAAATGGAGTATCAGTAGTGCATGTCTGTGGTCAGGAGCTACACAAGAGCAGGAAGGTGAGGCCACTGGCTCTTCCATGAGGGACCTAAGTGAGGGAGGGTAACTAGAGAGCAGTGTGGGGAAATACGGTGATTTAAAGTGTTTATTATGGTGTTAGGAGGTTATTTAGACTGGTAGCTTATGTTGCTTATTAGGCCCTTTCTTACGACCTGACAATTTATTATTTGTCATTTTCAACATGAAAAAGTGTCAAAATGGTGTTCCTCTGGCAGTGTAGGCACCTCTGCTGTAAGGAATTAGTAGTCCGTAGAGCTGGTCAGAGATGGGACATACCTTTTGGGAAACAAATTAAAAAACGTTAAAAAATTCTCATTGTGTTCAAAATTCGTTGTTACTTTTTGGCAGGGGAAGGCATAGGGGGAAATAAATCTAGTTTTTTCCTTCCTCTGTATGTTTCTCCCTGCTTTTTTGAACTGAAACCTGAAAATCATTCAGAGCTCACCAAAAATATTTTTCTGCTTATTGAAACAGTGTTTTGACATATGTCAAATCAAATGGTCAAATCATTTTGACGAGTTTTAGAAAGAAAGTAGTCAGATTAAACCTGGTCTGCTTTTCCCAAACAACTCTCAACCCATGTGATTTCATCTCATACTTCCAGTCGGGTCTCAACCCCTGCCAAGACCATCCCTTTCAAAAATCCTAAAGAAATGCGTGTGAGATTTGTGGCTGTACCCTGAGGCCTAGCAGACCTAAATTATTTTGGATCCATTTTAGAGGGTCTGAGACTGGGGGAACTCATGGACGCTGATTAACTGCCAGTCCACTCTTCCAATTGGGAAGACGATTCCCAAAGGAGAATCTAGCAAAATAGGCTCTTTGGATTGCTTTTCATAAACACAGCAAAATGTGTTTTTTCTTGCAACTAGCTTGGCTAAAGTGAGTGCCAACATTCTGTAGAAACGGAGTGGATCTTCTTCATGAGCTGTTTTGTATTATTGGGCCAAATCCTGAAAAGATTGTTCCATTTATATTCAGTTCTTGCTTGGGGAAAATTCTCACTGAATTCAATGCAGCAAATCTGTTCCAACTGTAACAGCCTGAATCTGGCCAATGCAGTTACTCCATATTTACATGTGTGAAACTAAGAACAGATTTTGTTCCAAGACGCAAGTAAAAGACATTAGGAATTAACTCACTATTGCCCCTTATGTCTGTAGGTATGCCAGTGAATAAAATATACAGATCCAGTTAAAACCATGCAAAGTTGTGATAAAAAGGGAGAAACGTCAGATTTCTCAGACATTGCCCAAGAGCATATAATTAATACAAACAGCTGGAGACATCTGTGGTTTTCTATTTCGTGTTCTTGTCTCATGTTCAAGCACTCCTCCTGCCATTGAGGAGAGTGGCAGATAAATTACCCATGAAACGACAATGTAAGTATCACACGAGAGCCAGGGGATCTGGTTCTTCAGTGCTGTGTTGCACGTATTGCTAAGACCATTTCTTTTAGCTAGCGCGTCTGTCGTGCTTGGTAGAATGTGTTAAAGGGGATGTCAGATACTGCCTGCCATAAATCAGAAATGTCATTTGCTCTTCTGATTCCTTTTCTGATGTAGACTCCACGGGTGGGTTAAGCCCCTTCCATGAACCTGTGGCAACCAAGACGGGCTGCGTCACTTCCAGTTCCCTGGAATATCTTGAAATCCAACAGCCAGTTCCACGAACCCCCCGACTCCTCAAGAGACAGGATTCCCCACAGCAGGAGCCCGCGAGGATCAGCGGCCAGGCAAAGGACTCTCCTCTGATTCTCAATATTGTTCATTCTTTCGAATCTGTTGACAGAGAGGACCAAATAGACCAAGTTTCCCCCTCTCATCAGTACCGAATTTTAGGCTCACCAATAAATTTTCCTTATAAAAGCTCAAGTGAAAGGACACTGTCCCCACTTTTTCAGCCAGGAAGTACGTCCCCTGCCAGAAGCCCTGTTCACCCTACCCAGGTCTCCTTCACATACGAAGAGAAAGTGAATCCGGCGAGAGATGAGGCGGTGTCCCCCACTCAGCTGGTTCCCAACAATCCCTTGGGCAGTCCTAACTGTGTTAAAAGCCGAGGCAGGTTCCCCATGATGGGGATTGGACAGATGCTGCGGAAGAGGCACCAGACCATGCAGTCAGCCAGTGACAAGCCACTGGAAACGAGAATGCCGCAACTGCAGCAGATGAGCCCCACGCAGATTTCCTTCAATGCAGCAGATGCTGTCAATGGCCAGTGTTAATCTGACGTGCCAGGATTTGTGCTGCTGCTGTCTGGCACCTAACCTTTTCTATTTCGAAGAAGAAGAAGGGAAAGCCGCAGGCACGTTGCTGTCACCACATGATATACCTACAGTGGTCCAACTTAGAAAATCAGAGGTCCGCTTGTAAGGAAGGGGTTGTCCTACATATTAAAGTTGAAAGAAGAGGGCCCTGCTTGTGCTGTTAAGAAATACTAGCATTTGGCATTTGACTGTACAGTGAAAAATGTCTCAGAAGAGCTACATGAATATGTATTTTCCTTGCTCTAAGGTAGTATTGCAATGAGGTTCGTTGGAAGAACAGCGAGTGTTAACAGCTTGATTCAGCAATGTAATGCCCGTGGTGCCGTGAATGCTGGTCCCATCCAGGACCTGTGCTAAGACTGCCCTTGCTCCGTCTGTCTGTGCCATGCAGAACATATTGTACCGTCACAGGCGTTCGTATGGCTTAAGAGGTGGAAGAACTCAAAATACTGTTTCCAAAGTCAGCTTGCTACAAGGCACTGCCAAGAAGAAAAAGGAAGTTGGTGGAAGCTTGAATAGAGACATGGGTATTCTAAACATTCAAAGAAAGTGGGAGTATTGAAAGTCAAAGCAGATTTTACTGTTAATTACACAAAGTAGCTAATAACGGAATCATTTTTTCTTAAAGAAAATGGTGATTTAGTAGGTGATGTCACTCACAAGAAACATTATTATTTAAAAACAAGTGTCATCAAATGGAAGTCTACCCCACTAAAGGCCTATTTCTTTCATATATAATGGCTTTGCAAGTGGATGCTTTAAACAGTAATCCAAGTTGCAATATGCTGTGTTTAAACAATCCGGTCACCTCCAATTTCTGTAGCTGTACTAGTTCCACGGCGTTCTTATGTGCAGGATTGTCTTAGCCCCTGTTATAGCAAAACAGCGTTGGACATACTTGAAGGCTTTTCTGAGAGACGGCAGTGAATGAAAAAGACTAATAAAGGACACATGAACCAGTATCAATGCCATTTTATACTGCAAGGATGGTAATGCAGTGGTTACCAAAAATTAAGTATTGTTACGAGCTGTGAATATTGACTTTCTTAAAAGGCAACATGTTCTGCGTACTGGTCTTGTTTTTCTAAGTAAATCATACATCTTAGAAGCTGGCAACATTTTTTGATTCTGTTTTTGTGTTTAAACTGTTTCCTATAAATCAGAAGGTTTAGCCAAAGACTACTGTTTTCGTCTGTCCGTACTGAGCTTGCATATGTGTTTGTGTGCATGGGGCATCTCGATGGTGCTTCGGCTCATCTATTTTCCAAGTGGGTAGCCCTTGGCCACACATATGCCACTGCAGCCCACCCACTTAATGTCATTTCAAAAATGAGGCAGCAGAGGCATTGTCTTCAGGAACTGTTGTTAATGGAATAAGGAATTTTGCGTCCAGATCACCTGTAGGAATCCAAGCCCTATTTTTATCAATATTACTGAAAATAATTTCGTGGCCCCTTGGCTATGGTTTCTGTACAAGTACAAAGAGTTCCCCTGTTTGAAAAGCCTTCCTTCCAATTTCATGATATACGAAGATTAGAGGAGGAAGAAAGCTGGCATAGGCAGGTGAAAAGTTCACCAACAGAGCCCATAGTTGAATGCGTATTTCCTGATTCCCAGTTTAGCATAGGCCTTTGGCTGAAGTTTGCAAGAAATAAAGTGAAGGTTAATCCAAATAGTGACAGAATGGGTAACTAATTTTGAACGCTTGCTGCCAAAACCAGCAGAGGGGCTGGGCCGAATGCCCCGGCGAGTGAATGCCCAGAGCACCCCTCTCATTCCTGCAGCTGGGGCCTTCAGCACGCAAGTGGCTAGGCAGTTCAGTATGGGGCGGGTTCATATGCTTCTTACTGTGCTCTTCAGGGTGGTGAGAATACCTGCTTCTGGGGCTGTTAAGCCACCAATAAAATTATATACCTATAAAATCCCAGTATATTAAGAAGGACAGCCCTAAAATATTTCTACGGATTTTTCGATTGACAAATGTCATATTCTATTTTTACAGAACCTGTGTATCGCAGAAGTCCATTTCAGCTCTTCCTTTTGTGTAAAATCATCAAAGTATTTCTTTTTGTTCACGCTAAGAACATGTTTGCGTTGTAAAGCTAGTGAGTGAGAACAACTGAAACACCGTGCATGCATCAAACTTGAATCGATTGCAGGTATTGACTTGAATTACAAGCTCAGGTTTATTTGAAACCCAATAAAAGGTTGGGGGAGGCAGGAGAGAAACACGTTTTTTTTTTGTAGAAGAGTCAGAGTGAAAACAGAAATGTTAAATCTTTTATTGTATTTATAGAGAATATATGAGTGCCACACTGCTAAACCATAAGCTTAGACAGTAGCTATGTACAGTCAAACTGCAGTGACCGTATAAGAGGCTTATTGAAATACGGTAGTGTAAATTCCAGGGGAAAAACTGTATTTGTTATCATTATTAAATACATGTACTTTTAAATGAGATTGCCACAGACTGCTTACTTTGTTTGCCAGGTCACTGCTTAGCAAGATATATATAAGTACGAAAACAACCAGCAAAACCATGAGGTGGCAAGAGGATCCCAGCACCTTTGCTTCACCCAGCAAAGGCTAGTCCTTTGAATCTAGCAGCTGACTTGCCTATGAACCCTGTGTGAGCTAAAAGGCATGTGGTTATCACAGGGTGGGTTTTCCTTTGCTTAATATTGGCCCTCTGCAAGTTGCGCATCTATTCTCAACTCAGTATCCAAGCCCTCTTTGCCCTCCCTCAGCGGAGACAGAAAGTCATCTCCACTTCTTTCCGCTTTACAACAGAGGTCTAAAATAGGGAGAAATAATTGCCTTTCAACAGTGCATAGCCATTCCCAGTGATGAGGGAGGGAATAGAGTTGGCCAGTTCAGGTGAGACACGTAGATTTTAGACAGCCAGGTGAGTCCCACACGTAGGAAGTCACACTGACATGAAAGCATTTGACGATCAGCCATATCTTCTGCACCTCTAGAGTTAAAGACTTCAAGTTGCTGGGACTATTCCTACCTTTGCTAAATTTAGCACAGCCATGCAGACTGGTGAGCAGCCTTGCAATTCCAATTTGAGCATTTCTGTTGTTGTTGATCCTATAATAATTTTAAGTACTGTTTCTTCCTCCTCCTACCTTTTCAAAAATTAAAAATCTGTTTCTTAAGGAAACTGATCTGAAGAACTCCAGTTAAAATCTCTTTCTGGTATTCTCAGTAGGCTTGGCACCAAGCCTGTAATGAACGTGTTCAATAGATCTGAAAATACACCATACATTTCAGGTTGTGCACTGGGGAAGAGATTGCACTGCTGTGCTTCAGGTGCAAGATGTAGGCAGTGGGACTTTGTGGGGGCTTTTTGGTACTATTTATATGCAGAATTCAATGGAATCAATGGACCAGCTATGGATCACTTAAAGAGGGTTTGGCAAACCAACTGATCATTGAGCAGCAGTTCAGGAACCATGGTAAGAAACTGATTTTGTCCAGGCCCCTCTGTCTAGAAAATAGGTATCGAATTTGTTCAGCAAAACAGAGAACGTGAGTTAGCATCTGTTGCTGAAGGTGTTGGTCTTTGTATTTGTCCTGTAAAAGGGCAAGTAAAAAAGTAAAACTCCAGCTTATCAAGGTTCACAAATCCTGTAAGTAACCAGTGGTTACTTTCATACTTTCGCACTTGACATCGCTATATCTTTGCCACAGAATCCCTTACTGCATAACGGCAAAATGATTGGGTCAGGTTTTTGGGAGACTCCAAGTCTCCAGGGCACCAATAAGAGGGTTTGTCAGCAATTCCCTGGAAACAGCCAAGCACAAATCTGCCCTGGACAGCACAGCAATGCGGCTGCGGTTAACATATAGGAGGAGGAAAGCGGGGAGAAAGAATGTGCAGTCAGGCATAGCACAGCTTTGCTATACTTGTACCTGGCAGAAGAGTCGTTAAAGACTTTACGTCAGTAGCAGAGCTTAAGGCTGTCCCGTTAATACTCAAAATGCTGCTAGGTCTGGTGTTACTGCTTGTGATAAGGACGTTTTAACGTGGTATGGATACACACCCTCCACATTTGGTGTGAAGAAGAGCTCCAGCCCGAGAAGAAGTTGACCCTTTATTCATTTGTAATAAAGCTTAAAACCGTATGGTTTTAATTACCCCGAGCTAGTAAGATACCAGGCCTTGCTTGTAAAGAAGTAAGCACAAATTTCAGGGAAGCTATTCCTCTATGCAGCAGTTCTGAATCTGACCGCCGGCCTCTTCCCTGCCGTTTTAATGCTCAGTGGCCCAAAATGGTTAACTTTCCCTTTTGTCCTTCACACACTTTCTCTGGAGCATAATGAAACTGCTGGGTGCAGCACTGATGCCTGTTTTTCCCATTAAAAAGTTACCACGGTTCTGTGGAAGGAGAGCTATAAATCACTCACTGTGCAGAAATACAACTATATGTGGCAAAATCATTAATAGGTGTGACTCCTACGGTCTTTAAGCAATCTCTCTACCTCCTGGTTATATGACTTATTTGCCTTTGAGGTGGGCTCACGTCAGAATGATTTGGAGGAATACTGGGAGCTGGTTCAATTCGATGTCATCACTTCTCAATGAGAGAAACGTGCTCCCTCAGAAGTAAATGAGTGTATTATTTGTAGCAGCTTTTCTGTTAGGGGAGCTTCCTAAGCATTTGCTTCTGAAGACGTATACATTGGCATATATTTCCTTGGACATGTTTGCATTACGCATAATTGTCTTTCGCAAAGGTGACTTGCAGATGGATGTAGGAGGACGATAGGTTAAATCATTTTGAGTCCTTTAAATATTTAATAGCAAGAGAACCGTCTAATATCATGCTTTCTATTATTTAGGTACATGGAATTAACTGTTGTTAGAAACACGGAGTGTCAGGATAGAACGTAAAATAGGATCTGGAGCGTATTTGAGTTTCCCTCCCGTGCCTGCTATCGCCTTGGCAGTGGTGTGCCCGAGAGAGAAGAAATAAGAGCCTTATTGATTAAAGGTGATTTGCCAAACTTGTTTAAAAATGTTGGCAATGTTTTTTAAAGCAGGACTACTGCATTTTTGAGACATATATCGTGAAGAAATGTGTTCATTAACGTGCATGTGAATACCACTCTTCCACTTACAAACGTACAAATCCCCCAGTTGTATTCCCTGCAGCTGGTAAAAGGAAACTCACAGTCTAAAACAAACCAAAAGAAAGCCACAGGGCGCTTATTTCAGAAGAGTTTCATTGCTTCTGTTTCACAGTTTGAGGTAGTATTACCTTGTGCTTATGGCATAGGACTGGTTGTTGGGTAAATAGGGTTTTTCCCCCCATCGCTATCTGCTCCCCAGGCAGCTAATCTGTTTCTGACCGGCCCATGCGTGAACGTGCACCCGTGTTTCCTGGGCACCCCACAGCACGAATAGGGGCCTCCTTCTCCACCTGGTTGGTGATCCTCATGAAATCAATGGAAACATCAGACTTTGGAGACTTACTTTGGTTGAAATCGGCCGAGAGGGCTGGAGACTGTATTTTTCGTGCCTCTTAGCCTGCCGCAAGCTCCACCTTTAATTCAAAACACTGTTTTAATCCGGTCAAAACGTTTCTGTCGCTTCTAATAAGGTGGGGGGTCGCTACTGTGGGGCATCCGGTCCCTTTGGGGGCACAGGGACGGAGGCGAAGGGGTTTGGGTCAGGATGGGGGCTGCAGGGCCGGGCACAGCCATCGCTGCCTCCTGGCTCGGGCTGAGCCCCAGCACCAGGGCGCCCCGGCATGCCCCGGCCCGGCCGGCACCCATCTCTAACGTGTCTGCGGGGAAGGGAAGAACAGGTCAGGGAAAACGGGGGACCAGGGACCAAGCCGCTTAAATTTTTAGAGGATGAGCTGGTTTTGCCAAAGGCGATCATGCCTGGCGACAGGGCCTCCGAGCAGTGCAACCAACATCCGTCCCGTCCCGTCCCGTCCCATCGGCAGGTCTTGGAGCTCATCCTGCCTGAGGCCGTCCTAGCAGTTTGCTGCGTTAATCTGAGGGGCGTCCGTGGGATTGCCCTTTAAAAGCACCTGCACTGGGAAACGGGGAAGTCCAGCTCTCCCCCGAAAGGCGACGTGAAGCTGAAGCACCTCAGGGGCTGCGTTTCTACAACTGGGAGAACCTCTTGCGCTCACGTTTGCGTTGGGGCTTTTGCCATAGTTCTCCCAGTGAAAGCTCCCCTTCTTACATTTATTGATTATCATTTTCCAAAGAGCAATTAAGTAAAATATTAGGGCAAAGCAATTTCAGAGGAGTGAAAAAGTCCATTTTCACGGTATGTCTTCTGAATGGAGGAGGTAGCTATCCCAGTAGAAAATTTCTTAAATCAGTGCTTAACTCTCCAGTCCCCACAGAGGCCACCAATTTGTTATGGTTTATGGATTAATTAGATTTTACTTTGAACCCTAGGGCTATGGGTAAAAACTTCAGGTTTTTCACTGATGGATTTAAGGCTTACCTTCTTAATAACCACACACAATGCAAACCTTCCTATTTAGGTCCTTAAGCATGTGGCAAAATTGCAAGTTACAAAACCAGATTTATTTATAAAAACCACAATGTAGTGGGTGTTGCAGCCAACATTTTAATGTACACAGCTGTTTTGTCAAGAACATTTGAAAATGAGAGAAGGAAAAAAGAATGAGCCTCTTTTCTGTTGCTCAATGGATGGTTATTGCAGCAGAAGGTTGCAGCTAGGGCTGGTTCCTCAGGTGTCAGCCCCAAGAACCAGCTGAGGCCAAGGAGGATGGTGGAGGGGGAGATGGCACCCAGCAAGGAGGAGCAGGCTGGTAGCGTTCGCTGGTGGCCGAAACCCGGGGAGCAGCTCTCAGATGCGACTCTCCTGCTCTGGTGCCGTGGCTAAAACTGGCCTTGGAGCAAGCAGGTTTCCTTTACACTTTTCAGCAGCTTGCATGCTGATACGGGGCAGTGTTTACCATTTCTCCCCCAAGCCCTGGCCCTGCAAACTCAGCCTTGGAAGAGGAAGCAAAACTGAATCATTCCTGTGCATCAGCAGCAGTTAATAAGGGCTCCGCAGGGCTTCTCTCTCCCGCTGTGCAGCTCCTTCTTCACCCTTAGTGGGTTTCCTCCTCCCAATTACAGGGCTGAGCCTACTGACAAGGTGACATGCAGAATATGCTTTAGCGAGCATGTTTTGCAGGTTTTGTGGGAATAAAACGCAGCAAGAACTTATGCCACTGAAGTCAGCAGACACGGCTTTGAGTGCACAAAGGAGAATTATCTCCTCGGGACGGAGGTGCTGCTTCTTACAGTTGCTTTCTAGAGCAGCAGGTGATGTTTGGCAGCTGGCACTGGGTGTGCACACTGCGAGCAGCTCACCTGCACTTACCCATTAAGTTGAGCGGATCAGTGATGCCCCAGGGGA